ATTGATGAGACGAAGACGAATTCCATTATAGGAGCGGTCAGAATGGTTTACAATGGCCTGGCCCTCCTCATTTTGTTCAACATGACTGCCGCCATTTTCTGCGCAATGGGGCAACTTCTGCAAAACAAGAACGGGGAGTAATTTTATGCCCTCCCCACCAAGCGGTCACGATTTTTAGCACAGTGCCAACTTCCGCTCAAGCAGCGACAAGTAAACGGTGTGAAAGCTCACATCCCCGCCGCCGCCCCCTCGGGATCACGGCGATTACAGAAGCCTGTACCGCAGGCGTCAGCGGCGGGTGCCAGCACTGACGCATTCACCCACTTCCCACAAAGCCGTATCTGGCGCCAGCGGCTCCCCACCAAATGCCCAAGGTGACATTTTACGTCACCGCCAATTCTAGCGCCACCGCGAGCTTCCATGCGAAGCGCCCGCATCTCCACGGCATCAGCCCCCGCCTGGTCCCCATGTCCAACGGGGGGGGGGCGGCCATCGGAAGTTCGGCCCCGGCTGCGTCCCAATGACGGGCTCCCCACGCCGGGCCCGGAAATCTGCGGGAAGGCGACGGAGGCAGGCATGAAGGCGGATCCCAATGGCCGGCCCTACGACCGTCCTCCATGAGGGGCTGGAGGGCGGGCGGCACCAGCAGGCCTGCCTGGCCCCCCACCCCACCCCGCCCTTCCCACCCGCTTTGCAGCCACGGCGGGCGCCGGGCGCCGCGGGAGCCCCCGGGGCGCCGCCATGGGGCCGCCGGGGGCGTCGCCCCATGAGGACCCCCTGCAGCTGTCCACGCCGTTCACGTCCTTCCTCAGGCTGGCGCCCGGCCCTCCTGGCCCCCCCGGGCGGGAGTCGCTCGCGCAGTGGAAGAAGATCAAGTCGCTGGACGGCACGTCCGGCGTGTACACGGGCACGGTGCTCAGCGTCGCGGCGCTCTCGGTGAGCGCGCCTGGACTCCCGGCGGCACGACCCGGACCGGCTCGTCCAAACTTTGGGGACCGGAGAACTGGGCGGAAAGCTTCGCCGGGGGGGCTGGGGTGCGGGTGCGGGCCGTTCCCGCCCATCGTTGGACAGGGATCCGCGGCGGGGAGGCACCAGGGATCGGAAAAAAAATCCGCTTTGGGGCGATCGCGGAGCCCTAAGACGCCACGTACAGTGAAGGGACGTCGACTGTGCGGCTCGTCGCGAATGACAGGGCCTTGTCCGCCGCCCGGCCCTTCGGGCCATCTGTGCCGACGGTAGATCGCGAGCCATGCGCGTCGCGCCTGAGGCGCATGATCCCCGTCCCGCGCTTCATGCATCCTGCACGGCATCGAAGCGCCGACGCGTCTTTGGCCGCGGGCCGGCCGCGGGAGTCCCGACCTGGGCGCTGCCGCTGCGGGATGCGATCTGTGCGGCAGAGCCCCCTCGCGACGGCGCTGGAGACGGGGCTTTCGATGTTTTGGTCACGGCGCCATTGTTAGCAGGTTCGCCGATTTTGGGACAGCGATGAACGGGTGGCGACGTCCATCTCTATGCGCCCAGTGGGAGGGCAGGCGAGTTGGGGCAGCACCAGCGGAAAGCGACGGACATGGGACCGGCGTGTTTGATTTTTTCGTCGCGACGCGAACGTGATCTTCGTGTCACAGGCAGCCGGTGTGTGCTGCCGTGGGCTGGGCACGTCGCAGGGAGCCTTCCCACGCGGACTGAAGCGCGATGCCGAGGGAGCGAGGCGCGCGGCGGGCGCTGACTGGCTGCGTCTGGGACGCCTGCGTAACTGATCCGACCGTTGCGTCGGAGTGCAGGGCTTGGCGTTGGATAGCACGCGTTGTCGCGGTTGGCGAAGTTTTGGGCGCGGGGCGGTCTGCAGAGATGATTGTGGCATCGACTTTGGGATGTGCGCAGCGGGGATCATCGGCGCGTCCTCGGGGTTTGCTTGGTCCAGATGGCAACCAATTCCGCCTCGCCGCGCGAGTTGTACCGGATTGCTCGCCGGGTGGTCATTCGGGCTCAGTTCGCATCACCGCATTTTGGACGCTCGCGAACGTCCTTGTTTGCGCCTTTGTCGCCTGACGGTCAAGCGGGATCTGCACGACCGGTCGCTCGGAAGGGCGAGATATGCTTGTGTGGGAATTATCCGTGCAGCAGCCTCCCATGGAAAAGCTGCCTCGTTGTTGGACCGTCCGATGTCCAATGCCGTTCAAAAGCCGCACGGAAAGTTGCCTGAGGTGGGACACATGGGACGAGATGTACTGAGCTCTGCGGGGACTGGGCGCTGATAGTTGGGTGGAGTGCTGAGGGTACAGTGGAGCACAAAAGGGCAGGGCACGGGGAGTAAGACTACCCAAGTAGGGGAGTACACCGAGAACATGCATTGGAAACATGCACACATGCATACCGTTCAAGCGAAATGAACAATATAATTTAGTCACTGGGGTCGTGGTGCACAAGGTGACCTGTGTCGTTGCAATGACAATGAGTGCATTGGTGTCACCACACAATAGAATACAATCCCACCCTAGGCAGGGACTCGTTCTGTATCAAGGATCTAGCGTAGAGTGTTGCAAAAGCTCAACATCTGACACTGCCAATGCCACCAGCGATTTGCACTCTTGTCCACTGGATGCCATGAGCGCCTGCGAAGATCCCCACCTACTTGGTACACAACAGCTGGCTGCAGTTGTTGCATTGTACACAAAAGACGGTCCAAACAGGCCATTTCCTAGGCCAGTTCAAGGCAGTTGCCTCCGTCCGGGGTACTTGCCACTGGTGTTGAACAGGGCATCTTCAGGGCATTGGCACTGCCAAACCCAAGGCCCACAACAAGGTCCCAATCTCCATGGTCAACACCACAACTGTCAGTGATCTCTGGTTGCTTGGTTCAGGCAGCACACTGCCTACCAGGGTGAAAGGGCACAACCCCAGGTGGCTACAGGCTATTTGTGTGTGAAATGAGATATAACAAAATTTGATCAAATTTGGAACCAAAATAGAGGGGCACTGTTTTTTCTGTCTTGTGCGTCGGTACAACTCTTGAATTTGAATTCCTGTTGTTTCACACAGCATGTAGGGGACAGCAACTCTGCCAATTCAAATGTAGGGCAAGGGCTCTGTTCATGCCAAATGGTGATGTGAACAAGCGAGTCTTATATTTCACTCCACAACAATTCTGTACCGTGCAACTCTCCTTGTTGCCCCAGAAATTTGTATCACCTTGCGATGTGGAAAATGCTTCTTGGGTTTTGTTTTGAGAGTGCCAGGGGGTTCATGACCATTGCGTGGCCCCCTGCTTCGTTTTGACTATCAGAAGCCTGAAGAGCTGACCAGTCAAAACTATATGCAGTATATCCGTACTGGTGTGCTGCAAAAGAAAGGTCTGTCCGCCTTGATCAACGAGTACCAGAATGCTGCGAGATCGACACGGGCATTGACGTGCATCTCGTGTCCCCAGTTCCTGGCCAGATTTGCCCATTTCGATGCCCCAATTTGTACCCACTCACTGCGCTTTAATCCACATTGATTACTTCAACACCTGAATCCACACATTGAACACATATTTGTTTCATGATCGAGTCCATCTCCAAGGGCAAAATTCTTCAAAACTCGGTGGCCATGCACATGACTGCACTTTCGCCTGCCTGCACCCTCTCCTGCAGTTGGTCATCCTCTTCCGAGAGCGCGGGTTCTTCCAGGGCCGCAAGGCATCGCCACCGCTGGATGATGTGTGGGATGTCTCCCCCATCTGGAACCGCGTCCTGGGCTCCCTCTTCCTCCTTCTGTATGCCATTGGCACGGGCTTCCTGGCCTTCTTGTTGCTGGTGCCTAACCTGTGCACCTTCCACAGAGATCAGCGTGTGAAGAAGTACAGGTGGGAATTGGCAGGAATGGACAGGAGATGGAACAAGTGCTGGCGATGGAATGATGTCCAACCCCCCAACCCACCCCCCCACCCCCCACACACACGCAGGTGCAAGGGCTGTGTCTGTCACTGTATTGTGCTTGGTGTCAAACAAATTCTATCTAAGTGGGAACAAGTAAATGTACACGTGCATCAATTGCTTGCGATGTGGAAAATTACCAACTAGTCTTGGCACATTCTTACTGAACGCGAATGATAGGGGAGCGCCTTTCCTAATGGCTGAAAATGGAATGTAGAGCTTGTGAAGGAAATGGCACCTCACGCCCTGTGTCCTAAGAGCACTATGCCTGCAGGTGGGAGTTCTACTCATTCCTTGCACTGCTTTTTTCGGACCTCTTGGCTGTGTTCCTGGTGGCCTCTGCTCGTGAGTCATTTGAGTACAGGCAGGACACCAGCAAGTTCGAGAGCCCGGTGGCCCACTACTTCATCCTGGTGGTGTTTGGGATCGTGCTGATGCTGCTCAACCTGCAGTTCTGGCGGATAATCGTCTTCAACGAGGCCAAGGATGACCAGAAGCCATGGGTGATCTTGAGGGAGAGGCTGGATGAGGCAGTTATGCAGACCAGGACACCTGCCTTCATACCTATGGAAGCACACCCACCGGTGAGAGTGTGTTGCTGCTCCAGCATGCAGTAACACTGTGCACAAGACGGTGTGGTTCTTTTGATTGAATCCTGATATGTTATTTCACTATCGCAATTGCAAATGTTCACTATGATCCTTGAATATGTGGCAGGCGTTGGCAGAATATACCCAGGGCAAAGATTCAAGGAAGGCTGCCTTGTTTTTTGTGTTGTTCTTTGTGAATGTCATCAACGCTGGCATTCCCACATAGCCTGCACGAATAGAGCGCTTTGCTTACAGTGCATGACAAAAACAACAGTGGATTTGCATGTAGATGAGTTGGAGTCGCCATGTCTATACACCACAGCCTGCTGTGTGACAGACTCACAAGCATGCAAGAAGTTCCACAGTGACTCAGCTGTGCAGCCCGCCTGGGTTGATAGGGGGTGTGGCTGTGGCGTTACACTGTTCAGGATCAGACGTACTGGCCATGTGATAGAGTTGCTTAGCACTGCCCAATCGCAGCGTGCAGGTTGTGCTAGCATCGGTGCCCTGTGGGTGTCTGCAAGCCAAGTGTTATGGCAGGTAGATGTACTGAGCTACCACAACACAGCAGCATCTATATGCTTGTGTGTAGTTGCTTTGGAGGTTATCGTAAGGGCACTGGCTCCTGCTGTACAATCAGTAATTAAAGGAGAGGAATTGTATCATATGACGTCAGTCGGACTCGATTGCTCAATGATCGATTTTCCCATCATGCAGGAAATTGATGCTGGTCAGCAAGGGTTTGCAGCCTCACGCAATGCACTGACTTTCTCCATTGCTTTGAATCGAGACGCAGTTTCAAGCAATTTCACTGCTGATGGACAGATGTGTATCCATACAGTAGATGCTCAAGGCCATGATGCTGAGAACAATAACATGATTCTATTCTTGTTCAGGACGCGTTTGTTGTGAGAACAAGCGAACCAACAGGAAATGGGGGCAGTTGCACTTTGAAACAACCGCTATGAAAAGCCAGCACCTGATCTTTGCAGGCTTTTGCATAGGCAACACCTTCTTAGACAACTTTGTGGTCATCCAGGTCGAAGAGAAACCCATGGGTTGCATCGACTACATAGCAGAAAAGGTCGCCAAGACACTGTACTACTTAGCAAAAATTACACGTGGACGGGACAAGTCCAAAGGCATTGTCCGAACAACTGTCAAGAAGGCTGACGCTGGCGTGTCCAATGGTGTTGTGGCGTCAGCGGGCTGCTTGAGATGGGTGTGCTGTCTGCAAGTTGGGTGGACAAGGTGTTTCGACGGGATTTTCAGCTGGGTTGGCCCATGCTGGGACGATTTCAGCAAACGCGCTCAGGACAGCGACGAAAAGACTTTCCTGTGGCGCCTCAAGCCGGTGGTGCAGGTGGGGGACAAAGTTGCGAATGCCATTAGGAATGTGCGCTCTGGGATGCAGAGCTATGTACAAGAGGCCTGGGATGGCATCAAGGAGGACAGACGCCCCAAAGGCTACAGGCACCCTGCATGGCTGAAGGGGGCTGTGCTGACTGCTGCTGTTCTCACCATCTATTTTGGTCTGGTGCTCAATGCCCTCTTCCTAGGGGCTGTCAACGATATTTACTTTCCCCTCAGGAGGTGCATATTGGAGTACAAGCTGGTGGCCAGCTTTTTCCTGAGGCTCATAAACTTCACCGAGGGCAGCAGGGTTGCAATGTCCCCCTTTCTTTCAGGCGACCTGGTGGGGGCGAATGCAACCACAAACTTCACCACTTTGGTGGGAGAGTACGCTGCGGGGCTGCTGGAACGCCTCAATTCGGAACTGCAGGAAGATCATCTGTACAACTGCACGGATGGAGAGCATGGCGATCCCAGCGTGCTGCTGGCAGCAATCAACTTTGTGGAATCAGACCTCCAGAGGCAGGAGGACGCTGCGGGTGTCGACAACCCCAAGGACGTCTTCTTTGACCGGACGCCTGGGGCCGTGACGATCATATTCGACAACCTGATGGACAACTTGCGTTGGAGCGTGTGGGTGGGCTACGGCTGTGGCCTGCTGGTCAGCCTCTACACCCTCATTTCTGTCTTGAGGCAGTACAAGAAAATCAGCCTGGCCATTCGCAGTGGCCTGTTCACAGACCTGCAACTGCCGCAGGACATGGTGATCGTGGACAGGGTCGTGGCCAAGAGGAACCTGAAGCGGGTGGAGGGTGTGGTACGCACCATGCTGACTGACCGCAGCTGGGAGACAGTCATAAAGAAGTACCCAATCAGCAATGCCTCATTCTTCTTTGGGATCTTGGTCAGCACCGCAGTCTTGCAGCTGCTGGTGTTTGGATGGATTGTGGCCACGATGTTCGCCATGATCGCCAGCGTGCCGGCCATGATCACGATCCTCAAGCCCGTGTTCCCCTTCGTCCTGGCGCTGTTGGTGATGTGGTTTCTGAACGAGGTGATAGCCAACCGTGTGGTGGCGGAAAACATGCTGGTGCACAACTACGACGTGCTGCACGAGCTGTATTTTGTGCTCTTCCTGCTGATCTACACTGGGGTGTACACCGTGCTTGGTATCCTGTACGCCGTGTGGCGGCTGGCCATGCTGTCAGTGACAGCCCTGGTGGGAGTCAACAGGCTGGACAAGAACCTGTTTACGATATTCAAGGTGGGTTGTCAGTGATCGCGTCACGCTCCCCCATTGGACAGATCGTATGGCTGCATGGTGGGCGAGTTGCTAAGGCATCCACGTCCATGCCATTCCCAACCTTGTGCTCCCCTTTCAGTGGCGCCTGCATCACTCCCACTGTGCTTGGAGATTTTCTTGTTGCCTTGTATTGTGTTGCAGCCCGAATCTCTTTGCTTGCATCCAACACTGAGCAATACAAAGGGAAGTCGTGTGCTGCACCTGTCTCACCAGTGACTGAAGCAGAGCAAATTGGTGCAAGGGCAAGCCAAACCCCTCAAACCTGGTCAACGCCGCACCCCCACGTAGCATGAAAATTCCACTTGTCCAATTGCCTTGGACATAGATTCCCTTTTTCAGATTCACTACCTTTGCCACAACCATTCTTGGGCAGGGGTGCAACACCCTGCTGGTCTCCCCGTTGCATTAGCAGTAGCACTAGAAGGCCCCATGGTTTTGCAGATTATGTAGCGATCTGTGAGCAATTGCTTCCTGAGAAAAGGTGCAACAAGGCACCAGAGTTTGTTGGAGGGATGCAACGATACATCCCTGCATAGCTGCTCTTCTTTAGAACAAGTGCAGTCGTGCAGGCCATAGCAAGTGCAGTTGTGTGCAGCGAGCCCCGTCGCCTGACACTTCGCCCCCGCCCGCAGAACTTGGACCAGGGTCACAACGCCTTCTGGGCCACCATCCTCATGCACCACGCCTTCATGGACGCCGCCATCGAGGGCCACAAGATGACCCAGCAGCGCTGGGTCACGGTCATCAGCCGGGCCCGCGACACCGGCCGGGACAGCCCGGACGGCGCCCAGCCCGCCAACTCCGGCGATCTTCTGTCCCCGAGGGACGAGGTGGAGGCGCTGTACGCCAGCGGCCGTCGGACGGACGGTATGGAAATCAGCGCGCAGGGCGTCTCGACCAAGGCGCTGGACATCGACCAAGATGACCCCATGATCACGGCCTCCATCCAGAAGTGGATCGGCGTGGGAAGGGACACCAAGGTGCGGGGGCCAATGTGCACTCCCCCACGAGGAGAACGCGCTGCGGCCCTTTGTGTTCGTCTTTCGAGAGCGAATTCGGACAAAGGAAAGCAGCGGCACTCGCTTTGTGTTCGTATTTCGAAAACGAGCTCGAACGAAGGAATGCAGCGGCTGTCGCTTAGTGTTTGTCTCCGGAGGAGAAATTGCGAAAAGGAGAATGGCCGCGCTCGCGCCGTGGTGCTGTGACAGACGCGCAGGTCGCCGCGCCGGTATGCGCCATGGACGTTCGTCCGCCCTCGCCGTTCTCTTCGTCGTCCCAGGCGCCTGCGTCGAAAGAGAAAACGAAGCGCGGCGGCGGCTGGTCGGGGAGCCCACCGTCATGGTCGTCACCAGCTTCCACGATTTTTCAGTCTCACGGACGCGGCGCCTCGGTTCCCAGCGGCACTCTCGGCTCCCCTGGACTTGCCCCCGGCCAATTGCACACTGCCGTCCCCAGACGCGCTCGCCCAAAAGCAGGACAACAGACGGCGCGTGCGGCCCCCTTGACGTCCGCTTGCAGGCGGACGTCGAACAACGCCAATTGGCGTTTGCCGTTTGACGACCGTCCTTTGTGCGACAAACGCGACCCAAGGAATTACGTGTGTGAGCGAAGTTGGAGCGAAGATTGAGAACTGGTGCGAACCTCGAGCAAAATTTGAGCAGAACCTTGGCAAGATTGGGGCGATTTTGAGCGAATCTTTTAAATAGGTATTTGAGCGAGTGCGCGCTTTGCCGCAGGCGTGCACGAGGAAGGACTCACCCAGCCCCGGTCGGGGCCACACGGTGCTCGACCTTGGGCAGGAGATTCCGAACCCCGGCGGGTCCTCGCCGGCGCTGTCGCTGCGGCGCCAGGACGGTGCCAGCGGCTCTGGGGGATCGGGGCTGTCGGCGGAATCGGGGGAGTGGCCGGGGGCGAACGGCGGCAGGGCGCCGGTAGACAGGGACTGGAGGGGCGCGGGGTCGTTTCGGGTGCGACTGGGGCAGGGGCTGGCGCTCCGGGCGCGCGGGGACGGCGTGGGGAACCACCCCTTGCTCGACGGTTCAGGCCGCGCTGACGACTCCAGCCGCGTTCAGTAGACGTCAGAATCGGGGGGATTTCGGGCGGGTGTGCCAGCTTGCGGGCGCAATTAGTCGGTTGTAATTGTTGGGTTAGGAAGGGACATTACTCGCCGCCCCTGAGAGGGGTTCCCGCGAGAAGCGCACAAGGGGAAAGCCACAAGATTGTCCCGGGGGAAGACCAAAGAGCGGGGGCTTTGTGGGGGGCGGGTGCCGTCCGCGGCGAATTGATGAGGATGCGGCGTGCAGTCACGTGCTGCGTTGCTGAGAAGAGACCGGCACTTACAGCAGGAGCAGCGTTCTTGTTCGTTGGAAGTGTTGCGGCAGCTGGCAGATGCATGCGAGCATGTGCATGCGTGTGTGGAGGTCTGGGGATTTGGGGGTTAGGGTGGGAACACTTGGTTTACTTACTTGGTTGCAAACGGGAGGAGAAGAGACAGCAGGAGTGGGCCAAGTTGTTGCCAAGGGCATCGGGGTAGGGTGGCTTGGCATGTTATTGTGGACGCTTCGTAACAGCAGGAGGGCGTGTTTTTTTCGGAAATCTTGCGGCGGCGTGCGAGCTATGCCGAGGTTGCCAAGGTCCGTTTGGGTTTGGAGATAGGCAGGGTTCTGCGCCAGTTTCGAACAATGGCCCAGCGATGTGATGCCATGCATAACATAAATTCATCTGATGTTCGAGATGTTCTGGGATATGCGGAGTATTGGCGGCCGCAATCGCCGTGCCATGGAACTGGTTTGGGCAGGCCGTGGTGCCACAAACTTGGCTGTGTGCTGTTTGAAATGGGGCGTTCGCTGGAATGAAGAGAGCCTGTAGATAAATGATTGTAAAATGGGCGTGTTGATTGAAGCAGGCAATCTTCTATTGGCTGGAGGTTTCCCGCTGTGCTGGTGCCGACGGTATCACACATACAGCAAAACCGATGATGAATCATTAATGTTGATTCGTTTTGTTGTTGCCTTTTTTTTCGAAACAGCCAATCTGGAGCTGAAGTTTGTTTTAATTCCCAATATGCCGTGTTGCGCAAGGGAATGCCGAGAACCACATATCTTCTGTCAGGATGGGCATGGCTTCAGGATGTAACTTTGGTATACTATTTGAAGTCGGGAAAAAATACAGTCATGCGTAGCATATTTGGCTGGTCAGTGTAGCAATAGAAAAAGCCAGCGAATTGACGCCCCAAAAGTTGCCAACAAATGTGGAAGTGACCTTACAAAAGAGACTGCACCACAAGTCAGCCGTGGCAGCCTCAAGACTTGCAGGGCAGAGGGCCAAAACGACCGATGCCATGATGCTGGTATGACCCCACCCCACCCCCGCCTGGCCCCAGGCGCCTCTGAACGCCCCTTCCAGTCGAATGCCAGGGCGTTTCCATGCTCCACCATCATTGAAAAAGATTTCTCGACGATCACGTAAGATTACGCATCAAGGCGAGGAGGCTGCCATTCCAGGCCTGAGCTTTCAGCCAAAGTTTCTCGCGTTCCCAGCTCCCTCGCGAGCAGCAGCCAGTGCGTCTGCACCCAACCGGCCAACTGCCCGAGGGCTTTCTAGTACTTGAAGTGCATGTTTCCGGCAAGTGAACCTCATGGGCGACAGGAGGTGTGTCGCCCATTGGGTTTTCCTGCCGGAAGAAATTATGCACGAGACATATGCTGCAGGCTTCAAAACCCTTCCGCAGCGGAAAATTCTACCTTCGCGCCTTATGCTCCACGTTTTGTTTTTCAGAGCGTTACTTTTATTTTTTGCGTCGCTCTGCAAAAATTTAATTAAAAGAGCGTTGTCTGTTTTATTGTTTACTTCGCCAAAACGGGCCAAGCGTTACGTTACTATGTGGAAGGGTTTCAACACCTACGGCTTGTGAACTGCCCCCACCCTGCGCCTCCCCGACCGGCTCCCTTCCCCGCAGGTTCCCCCCCTGCCACGTCACCTCCGCTCCCCCCTGTTAGCCCTGCACGGCCCCCACAAAATCCCGCGCCAGCCCCGCGCCTCCCCCACAAACTCGTGGCCTTACCGTCCCGCCAGCCTCCCCGTGCCCAGCCCGCAAGGCCTTCCCCGCCGCCCTGCGCCGCCTGCGATCCCCCGGGCACCATGGCGCGCCACGCGCTGCCCTTGGTCGTGAGCCTGCTCCTTGTGGCGGCAGCGCGACCCACGCTCGCCAAGGGCCGCATCATCGAGTGGCCCCTCCGGCTGCTGGACCAATCCCAGCCGTCCTCGGCCGTTCTCGGGACCGACGGTGTGCCGGTCGTGGACCCCCCGGTCCACAGGGCGGGGTACTTCAAGCTGGACAACACCGTGGACGCCTCCCTGTTCTACTTCTTCTTCGAGAGCCGGTCGCAGGCGCCGGACGACCCGCTGGTGCTCTGGACCAACGGGGGGCCCGGCTGCGCCAGCGAGATCGGCGTGTTCTTCGAGAACGGGCCGTACCGCCTGGAGGAGAACATGACCCTGAGCATCAACCCCTGGGGCTGGGACCTGGGGGCGAACATGATTTTCATCGACCAGCCCGTTGGCACCGGGTTTTCGTACAGCAATTCGTCCAAGGACGCGGTGCACAGTGAGGAGGGCGTGGCGGAGGACGTGCTGCACTTCGCGTGGGAGTTTCTGGCGGCGCACCCGGAGTATGGGGACAGGGACTTTTACGTGACAGGGGAGTCCTACGGGGGACATTACGTGCCGGCGATCGCGCACAGGATCTTCGAGGTGGGTGGCTGGGGACGCTGGGGGGAGGGGAAGGGGTGGTGTTTTGGTTTTCTGTGGGGAAATGGGCGGCAGGTATGGGCGAGCTTTTGGTTCAGTGGGTGGATTGTGGTTGGTGATGGCGGAGGCGGGAATGTTCTGGACGTGAGTCTGCGCGGCTGCCGACAGGGAGCGATTCAGGGGTGCCGGCCGTCGCCGATGAAGCCGATTGGCCGCTGCCGTGTGCCGCGTGTGACGGCGGATTGATGCTTTCGCTGATGGGCGGGCGGCATCGGGATGCCGGGGAGGGTTAGGGGTGGGAAGGGGATCTTTGCTGCTGGCGCTGGCGCTGGTGTGGGGATGGGAGCCGTGCAGGCCGCGGTGATTGGCACCGAGGGGTGCTGTGCCAGCGGTGCGCGCTTGCCACTCGCGCGGGGTCTGAACAGTGACATTGCACCAACCGGGCTGTTGGTCATTTGCCATCGCCAGCGTCCCAACTGCTCGCGTCTTGTTCAGCTTCCCCCAGCTGCTGCGGCTGACTTCCTGGCCAACTCTTCACTCGCGCCGAGCCTGCCGTGATGCGCAGCTTTGAGCTGTCCCATGCAAGCTCAGAACGTAGAAATCCGTCCTGAACAATTTTGCCCCAGAAAAAAGTGAGTTCAGCATGCCAGGCCCACTGCAGTGGACGGTGGAGGTTCCCTCAACAAGTTGATGAAGTAGTGCCCGAGTGCCAACACAGTGCTCACAGAATATGTGCACATCCCAGGGCCTGCATTTGCTGATGAATAGTCAATAGTGACGCTCAACATAATGCGACCAAAGGCAGCTTATCACCTTGATGTGCGCTGCAGTGTTGCATGTTCCCAACCGTTCCTGACCGTCCATCTGCCGTGCGTGCCACAGGCCAACAACAACAAGGAGGGCCCCCACATCAACCTGAAGGGCCTTGCGGTGGGAGACGGTCTCACTGACCCTGCCATCCAGTATGGAGCCTATGGCGAGTATGCCCTGCAGAATGGCCTCATCAACAGCTCCATTGCCGATGCCATGGCCAAGGCCTACCCCCTGTGCGAGAAGGGCGCTGAAGCCTGCAAAGGGCCCGGCTCATGGATCTTTTGCTATGCCGCGTTGGAGTACTGCCAGATGACGCAGTTTGAGCCTGTCATGGCAGCCAACCCTGGCATCAATCCATACGACATCCGGCGGCCCTGCGGCAAGAGCGCCCTGTGCTACCCTCAGGTCAGCAGATGAAGTGATATACTTCGTACATCGATTTGTGAATCACTGCTGGCAGTATGTGTTCAAAATGGCATTGTATATGCTGCAAACAGAGTGCTTTAAAGAAGGCAGCAGCAGCATTGAGTACAGAATGAGTCAATGTGGTTGAATCCAGCAGCTACTATTCTCACAATGCACAGGTGATGTAAGCAATAAATACTATCAAAGACTTGTGGAAGTTGCTGTGCAGTGGTGCCTTGCCAAAAATTTGGCAGCATTCCATTGCCTCTCATTGGACCTAACGAGGGGCTGCCTTTCACCGCTGGAAGGTCAGTCGCCTGGGCAAGTACCTCAACATCCCCGAGGTGCAGAAGAAGCTGGGTGTGGACAGGCGCTTCGACGAGTGCAGCCAATCGGTGCACCTGAGCATGACGGGCGACTGGATGCGCAACTTCGACACCACATTGCCACCCCTCCTGGAAGCAGGCATTAAGGTACTGATCTACGTGGGTGACCAGGACCTGATCTGCAATTGGGTAGGCAACCGTGAGTGGGTGGACAAGCTGAGCTGGAGCGGCTCAGAGGAGTGGCAGGACGGAGAGGACAAGGAGTGGCTTGTTGGGGGCAACGCAGCCGGCATGGCCAAAGCCGTGGGGCCGCTGGCATTTGTCAAGGTGCGAATCCTTAGATCGCAGCCGTTGGTGACCGATGGAGCGCCGCCATCGGCGCTCGCAGAAGATTGGACATGTTGCACGCTTTGATTGCATGTTGTCATCCTGCTGAACAAGAAGCTGAACAGTTGGGATCATTGAAATTTGTTGAACATTCTGATTTGAACTTTATTCTCTAAAGCAGGCAGGAAGTGTGCATTGGTGGTGCAAAAGCGAGGGGGAACCGGATTCAATCATGCTGCCATGGCGCTGTATTTCATAACCTTCCTGTTCTTAATTCTTAGTGCAAGATGTCAATTGTTGGGTCCCGAAGACCCACACTCCGAAGGACCCAAATCGAATCTCCACGGATGCTGTCCCGAAGCAGCAACTTGAGTTTGTATGCCCATGCAGCCCTTGTATCTATTTTTGTCCTCTTTTCTTTCCTTTTTCTACTTCCGTTTCTGTCCTTCGACTTCTTCCTTCTTTCCTTCATCTTTCCTTCGTGTTCTTCCTTTTCCTGATTTGCTGCCTGTGTTCATGAAGGTGTACCAAGCGGGGCACATGGTCCCCATGGACCAGCCGGAGCATGCCTGGAGCATGTTTAACACGTTTTTGGAGGACGGCCCCTGGTACGCCACGGAAGAGGACCATGGGCGGGAGCAGTATGTCATCACCTGAGCGGCTGAGCGCTGGACAGATATGCTGCTGCGTGTATTGTCACAGCATTGATCTGACGGCAGGCACAGTTGAGAGGCTTCAAGGAGCTGATTGGAGAGTGGCCTGCAGAGGCCTGCCGCCCATGCAGTTTCGACTTGGGAGGTCGGATACGCGCTGGGAGTGAGGGGTGAAAGGATGAACTTGGAACAGGGTTGCTGTTGACATTCCCTCGATGCGCCACGTGGAGCAAACTGTGGTGCGGAGTGCCGAGGGTGCTTGGGAGGTGCCGTCATAGTTTAGGTTCGAGAGAATAATGCCAGAGCTTGGCTTGCGTCCTAGTTCCCTCTCTGTACTCTGTTCTGCCCCGTTTCGTTGAACGTGGGCTGTACTTTGTGCTGTAATTTTCGTTGTCTTTGCACACCCACTCGCTTGGTCCATGCTTTTGTATGCACCACGCATGAGGCAATGCGCCCACCATCCCGCCTGTCAATGCACTACCGCACGTCCAGAGTTGCGAAATTCATGCTCCGCAGTGTTCACAGACTTGTGGTGCTTCGCTGGTGCTGTACCATGGTGAAGCGCACCAAATAGCCCCACGTCCCGAAGGGCATAACTAGCTTCTCAGAGCCATCAAGAACTGTCTTCCATTCCGATAAGTGGTTCGCAGTTGTAACCACTCCCAAATGATCCACCACGCACCCAGTTTCCTTCCCACCACTTGCCGAAACCCAAAGCGCAAGTCCAATATTTGGCACTTCCGTAGCCACCGCCTCACCAAGCCGAACGTTTGTCCAGACGCCCAGCGGCCCACCCTCGCCCCACGCCCTTGCTCCCCAGGATGCCCACGCCCCTCCCATCCCAAATGAAAACATAACTGACAGCAGAAGAAACAAAGGAGATCAAAATGGAACATCTCCAGCGGCCCCTGCCGGCAACCCGCATTTAAACACCGGCATCCACGCTTCCTGCCGCCGACGCCCAAGAACCCCCAAGCCCCAAATAAGAAAGGAGTCGCAAATCCCCCCCAACCTCACCCCAAGGATCTGGCTGGCGCCCCTTCGGGCCAAGCGGACGTGAACTCGAACAGACAATGCGGAATCGAACAAACACATGTGCTTGGGACCATTGCCCGGCACCGCCAACGGGGTGCAAGGGCATGTGCTCTGCTATGCGACGAACGCAATCGAAACAAGTAATTACGCCCCACCGAGAGACCCGCGCCCCTCACGAAAGCGCCCGCCACTTCCATCCCTTCCTGCTCCCGCCCTCCGGCTCCCCCTCCTCGAAGCTGGACAAGCGCTTCGCGTAGTCCCTCATCGTCTGCAGGTCGGACGGCCACGTTTGATACACGTACCGCAGCACCTTGGCGCTCTCCCGCAGCTGGCGGTCGACGCCCCCGACGTCGGGGTCCCACCGATACAGGCCGAATCGGTACTTGTAGCCGAAGTTCCACTCCAGGTTATCCACCAGCGTCCAGTACATGAAGCCCCGCACGTCGAAGCCGTCATTGATTGCTTCCATGATCTGCCGTTGAATGCCAAATGGGCTGGATAATCAATCGATCAGTCAGCAGGAGCTGCATTCAAGCGTTTACAGCATGCTGTTGTCCAGGGAAGGCGCCCCTTCAGAGCATTGCCATGTGTGGGACTTCTGGGGCAACATTTGTCGCCAAGAACAAAGCACCGACTCTACACCAGTTCTGGGGATGGCGGGCGCATGACAATCTCTACACATCAACCACTATTGTGCTGATGATCGCATCCAATATATTGTAACCCAAACAACGATTTGTTCTCTATTACTCTACCATTCCCTTCTGGCCGAATGTTGCCTTAAGGCACCCGAGCGTGGGTCGTCTTTGCGCTGTTCAGCGACGCTCCCTTGGGGACCTGTTGCGTACAGTTCCTGCACTATTGCAGTCGCCAAGCAGCTCAGTAATGTACTTGTTTCCGCCCCACAATCTAAAGTAGAAGTTATCATGCAGTGAACATTGTGCACTATTATACGCGTTCCTATTCAAGTACAGTATGATTTTTGTTTAACTACTGCAGCATACTTCGCCCTTTCAGGGCGGAACAGGGGCCGTTGCACATTTTAGGCAACGACCGCCACCAATACTAGGGTTTTTGATACTCCGATCCACAACACATTCCCTCCTTTTGGAATCACAAAACAAGAAGGCGCAAACATCTCATCAGCAGTTATGCTCCCACTCTGTCGAGGGTTCAGTGGCGTGCCCATGGGCGCCGCATCTAAGCGCCAAAGTCGTTCGATTGGTCACCTGCAGGGGTCTCCTTACCTGGCGCGTGTACCCTCGGATCCATTCCTTCCGCCGGTCGTCCAGCCTATCCGCGATGCCTGTCTCCGTTATGTACATGGGGATGCCCAGGACACTAAGTTTCTTGATAGCGTTGTAAAGGCCCCTTGGGTACACCGGGTAAGGCATGTCTGTCATGACCTCTCCCGGCATGTGCGTGGCGTTGAGCCTCCAGCCCACGACGCACCTTTCAAAGACCGAACAAAGGAAACGATGTGTCTCAGGCCAACAAATGCGACAAACACTCATTCTCAAACGCCCAACAGTTTCCATTCATTCGTCAGGCACTTGCAGTACCATATTACGCACTTGCAAGTATTTATTGAATAAATGCTTACAAGTGCATAATACAGAATAAAGTTGACTAAAATTTCTATGCATCTGTGCATCTATTTCTTTATTCGTCCGTTCTCTCTTTGTTTATTTATCTATTTCTCTACTCATGTACTTGCTAACTTATCTATTCCTCTTAGTCAGAACACGCCGCACCTTGTGTAGTAGTTTATGCCCAGCCAGTCGCAGGGCGGTCGTCCTCCGGGGTTGCTGTACTTAACGCGCACCCCCCTGCCGGGCACCCGCCACTCGTATTGCCCCGTCATCATGAAGTCCAGCACCACGTCACGGCCCCACCAGTATGTCATCCAATTGGCGATCCACCTACACACACGGCCCCGTGCCTGTTAGCATCAGTGCGCTGTGAGACTGCCAATTCAATGCACTCACTTCTTAAAGCTGACAGATTGACAACAAAACGGCAGTGTCCACGACGCCCCTTTCAAAACGAAAATGGATTTAGCCCGAGTGAATTTGGGCGCCATCTCGTCACGTGCCAGCCACATGATACAGGACGGAGTGCTTCACGACGGTTTGGATGCAGGTCACCGGAGTTCGCCAACATCAGACACCGCAAGTCCCCTGCCAACACACACTGTGCACGCAAAAGTGGGCTGCAAACTGCAGTGCCATCCCTATGTTCATTGTCTTAACTCGCCTTCGAAAGATAAAGTGGGGCCCCTGCTACTTGCAGGCCATGACAGGCGCGGATGCATCCAAGACGCTTCGCTGTCGCTGGATCGTTCATTCTATCCGGAAAGGGTTATCGTCACGCCTTTTCAAATCCGCGCATCGAATGATTGGGACGAGTGCAACACCTGGAGCTACCTCGAGTGCATGTACCAACGCCTGCGAGGAACAAAGGTGATGTCATGCACGACAAGGCCGACCCTCGCTCGGTCGCCCCCAGGCAGCGCCTTCATCGCCTTGTATGCATCGACGTGCGCTGCCAGCACATTCTTCAGGTACCTGCCTGCATTATGCTCAATCAGTCTATTGGACATAAATGAAGTGCAAACAACCAGTACATCAAGTTCCATGGAGAATGAAACTTCGAAGTGTTAAAAAGGGCAAACGTTGCACTGCAACAATGCCAAAATTTCTCCCTTCACACAGTTTTTAACTGTGCTCACACTGTGTTAAAGTTGGACCAAATTGCGTGCTTGACGTCCAAACCGTGTTTGAATTGGATTAAATCATGAACTAAACCGTTTTCTGTGCCGATTCTCCAGTGAATACCATGCATCTAACGGCTCATCAACTGTCTTCCACCAAGGCATTTGATCGATCAGCCGTGCTTTGACACAGGCAGGGCGGCGCCGGCTCCCCCACCTGCAGTTGTAAAGGCGAACATACGGCCCGGGGGGTAGAGGCCTGCCAGGTAGCCCGAGAACATGGACACAGACGGCTCATTGAAGGTGGCCCACGACACCACACGGCCTGAGAACTCCCTGAAGACGAGCGACGCGTATGCCACAAAGTGCGCCACATTCTCATCCCGGCAGAAGGACCCCATTTCTTCGAACCATGCAGGGTGGACAAAGTGGTGCAGCGTCACAACGGGCTCAAGGCCGTGTCGATCCAGGCAGTCCAGGATGGCATGATACCTGTGTGTTGGTGGCACAGCAGGGGGCCAGAGTCATGAGGAACTCTGTCACACTTGAA